TATTATTATTATATTATTATATCTCTCTCTCTCTCTCTCTCTCTCTCTCTCTCTCTCTCTCTCTCTCTCTCTCTTTGTATACAGAAACGATGGTTGACGATCAAACGCAGCAGACTTTTCTTACTTGTTTAACCAGTTTGAGACTTCTTGCAAAAGTATTAGGACTTTTAGTGTCATTACCGTATAGATCTGAATCCAATACTACAAAGGAGATTATAATGACACAAATAGAGATAAGAAGCAAGGTATGTAACATAAAAAAGTTATGATTTAAAAGTTATCTTTAAATTTTCAATATTTTTTTAATCATTTTATTATTCAGATATTACCATCACTAAATTTACAAGCGTGTCTTCAAAGTGCTGTAGTTGAAGGCAAACTCTCCCTGACGATACCTTGGATAGTAAAATATCTAGCAATGATGGATATTGTGTCACTTCGATTACCATATTATAAACAGATTTTAGAACTATTGTATTACATTTATCACGCCATCAATCAGACCGATCTTTCCGCTCCCGATTGCCTTATTTCTCAACAAGCGGCTGTACTACTCAAATCGAGTCTATGCTGGTTATTTGAACTACCAAACTTTCCTAAGGATTTCTATATCGCCTGGCAAAAGACTTGCAAAGTTAAAGAACTAAAAAATCTCAAACAAATGGAAAAGTTTTCCGAAAAGAAAAAGAATTCGCATTCTACCGACTGCGCGATTCTCAAAAATAATCTTGATAAGTTAGATATAATCACCGACCGAACGATGCGCATGTGCTGTCCACGAATGGAATCAACTCTCCCGGTGTTTCACGGAAATGGAACAAATTTGAATATCAATTCTAACAAACATATTACGCCCGTTACCAGCCAATTGCGTAAATTAGGAGGCGCCACTCGCGCAAAACACTTAGAGGTTTTTTGATTATTGTATTACATTTTTTGTATATATTTATATTTTTACCATGCTGCTATATATTTCATAAATTTCTGTTTTGGCAGTTGCAACTGGAAGAAGCTTTTTTCCATGGTCAACCGGCTTCTACTCGAAAAACTGTCGATTTCGTTTCGGAAAGAGTCGCGTCAACTTGCGTCAAACATATATGCAACACTCTATTAGCCTCATCGCGAGAAGCGAATTTAAATTCTTTCAGGAAAATCCTGAAACGTAAACATATTAAGAAGAACTCCGATGAGCAGGGAGAATTGTCAAAAAATTACTTCAACGAATTTAAGGTAATAATAAATTCTGTGTGATTAAGGAAAAATTTTATGTTTTAGTGTATAAATTATATTTTAATGTTTAGGCTTCGCTCTTAAGCGACATAAATATATTGGCCAACGACGCGTCGAGAGATTTAAAAGATCAATGTGAAAAAACGATTCTGACAATTTGCGAAACGCGAGTCGTGACATCGATAGAATCCCTATTAGCAGAAGACTCTTTAACGCCTGTCAAAGAAATGTGTACCAAGATTGCGATTAGAATGGCAATGGAACGAATAAATCAGTGGATTCAATCGCACATTGCCGGTGATTCTTTGTTTATAAAAGACATGGAACTTGAGATTAATAGATTTTTTCGAAACAACAGTCCTGTGCATTCAAAGCAAGAAAAGCTTCATAATGCCAATGCTCCTAGTCCTACCGTCGTTATGGACGAACTTCGCGTAAGAATATTTGAGTTTGATTTAAGTTTGATTTATAAAATATTGTATAATTATAGGATATATAAGATATATATATTTTTTTAATTTTTTCATCTTTTTTTATTTCTAAAATTAATAACTTGAAATTATTATTCTTATGCAATACTCTGTATTATATATTTTTACTATTTATTGTTTACTATTTATAGGGATTAATATGGCATATGTTAGATAACAATGGCACAAATTTAACTATATCGATTGTATTGGACATTTTAGACAAATTATATCAAGCATTCAATCAAAGGAATGATTTATTACCAGGACCACAGAAAGTTTTGTATTATCTCAGTACAGATTTTGCATTATTTTTAGGTATGTTTAATAATACATAAATCTTTGAAATCGTTGAAAATGATGAAATTGTACAACTGCGAGATTTCGTATTTTTAGTTACGTACAGGACAGATCTCTTTACACGAGAGATTCAAGACGAATTGATTAAAATATGGTCATCGGATAGTCTAAGAAATGACGAAGGTGATTCGCCTATGCATAGACTTCTGTGTTCTAGAAATATTATATTGCTGATGCAACAGGAAAATAACGAAATGTGGCCGATTTTTGGCAAATTTTTGAAGAGATTATTAGAAACGAAGATACTCGACGGAGACAGTCTAAGTAATCAGTGCGTAGCTTTATTCAGACAAGACTGGCCTGTGGTAAGTTTAATTACCGAATCATTTTCCAAATATAATATTAAGAAAGAAATTAATTTAAATGTAACTATAAATATAATCGTATGTATGTAAAAGTAATTGTAAAAGTGGAAAATATTTTCGGAAAGTATTTTAAGAATCCATATACTCTAATTGTTAATTTATATTTGTTGATTTACGTTCCTGATACTCTAATTGTTAATGTTGATATTCTCGTTTACAGTCTTTGTTAAAACTTTTATCAAAGTGCCTATCTGAGGCCATTGACGGTTACAAAGCAAATGACGAAGCGACAGAGAAAGTCAAGTATCTCCTCGGCTGGATAGCGGAAACGTATCATGAGATCGAATTTTGTGATGATTATGATCTGTAGATTATCACATAGTTAATGATGCTGTCATAATTGGAAAGCATAATTTTGTTGAAATGATTTTCTGTAAATGTTTTTTCTTGTGTATATATGTATATTATGGTACATGCGACAAAGATGCTGTACAATCTATCGGGTGTGTATATCATCGAGTATTTTATGAATTGAAAAATAAATTTTAACTTTTTATATATGTACGATTATCAAATATATGACTGTATGTTTTAAAATTGATGTTTATACCGGCGACGTTCCTTTACGTTGTTTTTCAGTCGGCACGCGTCGAGGTAGCTCGTTGAGGTCAGAGGGGCACGACCTTGTCGAAACCTCGGGGCCATTCCTTGCTACGCGTCGAGTTTGTAGCCCTCTTTTGTCTCTCGCAAATTGGGTTATCCACTTCATTCCATCCCCACGACTCCAAATACTCGACTATTACCCTATGTTTCATACAGGGAAATCTGATTAGCGTACCTTCAGGCTTGGCAGATAGTTGTGTAATGAGATATGACATTACCGAAGTCACACGTTACTGTCAAATATACACGAGTCAACTATTTATCGAAAAGTAATTATGCTTCAAACTTTTTATAACCATTTTTGCATTTTTATATCGTGTTGTTTCAAATTGACGGACCATTAATAAGTTGTTAATATTAATTTCAAGCGGGACAATTAGGGTTTTGTCGCTAACCAACATGTTCGCTAACAAGGATAATGAATCTCGTTGAATGGATTTCTACTGACGATCCGGTCTACTAACTTGTTAATAAACAAGAGTTGGTTCACTGCTCTAGTCGAGAGCCGCGTTTCACCTCAATTAACACCCTTTCGACTTTAACACACATTCGTGTTTTAAAAAAAAATCATTTTCCGAATCATGTTGCATCATAGCTCGGTATGTCTGTGCCTCTGCGATTCTTCGCCTCGAGGATGCTTTTCCATTTCGCCGAGGTAATATAACGCGGACGGTTATCGCTGTCAAGCGCACGCCGCGACAGCTAGAGTATCAGAATTGTAAATCTCGAGGTTGAAGTAATTTGTCAAAGTCGTTTATTGCATAATTAAGATTAGCAAACGACTGCACGTTTGTTATTAATATTATTTTATATATAATATCGATCTTTCATTAATAAATTAAGTTTTGTGGAAATTATTCATCATGTCCCGATTTCAGAAATAAGGATTTGCTTTTAATGTTAATATTATTACAATAACTGTCTAATTTCTATATGTGTGATAATAATTCAAATATATTCAAATATATTCAATCATCCGATTGAGTTTTTAAAGGTTCCATCTTTTTGTACGTTGCTGTTACGACCAGGCATGTTGTCCTGACGCGAACGAGAATGGTCCTTTTGTCCTTCCGAAATTGGGTCATGCACCTCCGTTCCGTTACCATAACTCTCAATGGTCCACCTTCTCGTTCGATGGTGGTATCTAATCTTGGCTCGTTGCTCGCAAACGAATGACCGCAAATTTTCCGTCCTCGTGAGCGGACAGACAGATATTTCTTCCCATAATTTATATAAGAATGATTTATTAATGGGAGAATTAGAGTCATATTTACATATAAAAAGAAACATAAGCAAACAAGTTGTTATTATTTTATTTTTTTTTATTACTTATTTTCATGTTATAACTATTATTTATTATTATTTATTTATTATTTATTGTTGAAAAATAATATTTCAAATAAAATAAATTATTTCTATCTTTTATCTATTATTTTATCTATTTTACTTTCTAATTATTGAAATAATCTTTTTGATTACTAAATTGTTAAAGATTAACCTGAAGTTAGGCGAAACTTTGGTTTAAAATTTTATTTAAATTAATTAAAATTTTTTAGAACTACGCTAGTCGATAATTTTCGTTTGCAACATATTACTGGTGACTTGTCCAGTCTTGTATGCACGAAATACTGTTATTGCCACATTGCGCCACGTGGTGCAGATTTTCGTGTCATAAATCCAGCTTGCGCGATATAATTTTACGTGATTTTTCGAGCACGGAAACGCGACCCGTTTCGAACATTCACTTGTTTTCCTTTTTTTGTCACTTTCGCCGTGTATGTATACTGTACTGTACTACGTACGAGATTCGTTATAAATCGGAAATAACGAAAATATTTAACTTGATTGCAAAAGCAAACAGTGCTATATCGTTAAAAAAGAATTTTTTACACCAAATATTTATGTATGCATATATTTCATTTAAGTATTTAAATGGACGTATTTATTAGAGTTATTCAAATGTAGAGTTATTCAGGAGAAGTAATTCAAATTGACTTTTCACATATCTTTTCTTAATAATATATAACTAAAAGTATAATTAAAAGACATTACATCTTTGAATTTTATATTATGAATATGATATTAAATTTATATAATGTAAACTTTAAATTTCAACTCGATTACAATGAAAAAGTTTGCCGTGATGTAAGCATGGCATCAAATTCGAAAGAACAACGCTCAAATGTGCTAAAACATAAAATTTCCATAATTTTGAATTAAGAAATATATTCTTAGAAATATAGTCTTTAATGTTAAAGGTACCAAGCAGTCATTTTTAATCATTTCTATTTTCATTTCTATTTTCTGAGCAATTGTCGAAAAGAGAGAAAAATCCCGCGTATGATCGTACATATGTGAGGGTCAGGCGGAACGTCTTGGCTCTCCTAGAGATCGGAGACAAACTTTATGCCGTATGGCACGCGTACATGCGCGGCGCGGTGCCGCGCAGTTCCGCGCGCGCGTTCGCGGAGAGAGTGTAAACGGGTATTTCGCAGCTCGCGACTCGCAGTCGTGATCCGCGGTTCGTCGCGTTTGGGTTCGCGTCCGTGTTCCCCGCGTATTATACGGATCCCGCTCGCGATCTGTCGAATAAAAATCTATCGAGTACCAATCTGATCTCGCGGTTGGAATACGCGCGAGAATCAATCTGTCGTTCGATTTTTATTTCACGATCGTGTCACATTGTTGTCAGGTTAACTATCGATTGTCGCTGCTCCTCGATCGCTGCGAGACATTTTGTATATGAAAGATATGTTCGGTTAATGAACGGGAAAGAAAAATCGGGAATTTGGAGGAGAATCTTGACGAAGTTGCTGGAGGGCAATAACGGAAGACACGGTAAAAATTTCATTTATATCTCATCTATTGATGTAAGGATGAAATCGACTGTACTTGAACTTTCTTGTAGTCGCGTTTAGCAATAAAAATTATATATTAAATTAGATTGAATAAATAACTAACGCTGAATCCGCCATTATCGATGACTATTCAAACGATGATATTCAAACGAGAAATGCGAGAGTTTCGAGAGTACAACGAGGTCCATCGAATATTTCAATAGATTTTATCGGTATCGCAACCGCCATATTTATTTTCAATACGGATTGATCAAATATGGCGGTTGCGATACCGATAAAATCTAAATCTGAATAAAATACTACCGATCCGAAAGTATCTCGATATATTCCAATTTAATCGCAGCGGAAATAAAACATTCTCGATCACGTTTGCGATCGATTTAAATTTCAAGTTCTCGCAAACTCGGTCGACGCCATATTCGATAAAGAGAGAGAGATTCATCATCAAAGAGCGTCGTTTGAAGCGTCGTGTAAAATTCTCTCTTTCCAACGTCGTGTAAAATTCTCTCTTGTAGACGCGTCATCACGTGATCGTTGTTCGCGGCACTCTTCAGGCGGAAGGCCGATGGCGAGAGGAACGCCATGAATTCAAACATCCGACATAGCGTCCTCGATCGTATCGCAGTCGCGAAGTGATAACGATCAGGGCGAGCATCCAGTGCAACGTGCCGGCCGGTGTCGGTCTCGCGTTGGGGCACGCGAAGCGGCCGTTTCCGCGTCATCACGTGGCGCGTCATCGCGCCGTCTTTGTCACGTGGATCGTCATCGGCGCCGCGAAACATGAGTGACAGAGTCGTTCGTTGATCCGCCGATCCTGCCATTTTGTCGGCGCGTCCGTCGAGTCGAGTTGCGCGAGGTAAGTTTGAATCTCTCCAGACGAGATTAAAGATTTTATATTTCCCTAAGTGTGGTCTTAAACGCCTTACTTTGAATGCCGATTGGACGTGGACGATTGGCACCGCGTTGAAACGCGCGAAAAAAATATAACAATTAGTCGAAATGAAGACAGAAACAAAACAGTTATGAAGATTTAAGCGGTATCAGAAAGAGCGAGAAAAATAAAATAAATATATTCACGAGAAATTGTACTTACATCCATTGTGTTTCATGTCGAAGGTAAAATTTTTACTTGACCGTAGCTTTGCAATTAATCGACATTCAACATGTATTTGAAGTATAGAAGCTACAAATCGATATATTTTTATATTTGTATATTTCCCAAAGTGATGTCTTGCCGACAGATATATTTTATAAAAACTTTTATAAAAGTGTTATATAAAATTTTATGCAGATATTTTTTGTATTTTATCAATTTTTTTACAATATTTATCGTAACATTCTTTTTATTAAAAGGTTCAAGCTATTTTTTTCAAAATGGTTTCTATTTGATCTTAAATTTTAAATAAATTGAAACACGTTTGATTAAGTGTGAAAAGAGTAAAAAAAACCGTCATGTCAATGTTTATTCATCATATTTGTAAATTGGAATTATGTGATAATAACGATAAATCGATACATCCGTTGTCGATCTATCAGTCACGATTCGCGCTATAGACACATCTCGAATAATACCGCGGAAAGTTTCGAGGACGCGTATAGTGAGGCTCAGAAAATAAAACGATGAGTATTGACTTTTGTGTACGTTCATTCATCGAACACGGCTTGAGAACAGTTGCTCGATATTATCTTCCACGTATTTCCAATACGCGTGCGATAACTGATTCTCGACACGTTATGGATCGATACGCAGAACTATCATCGAATGCCATTAAGCGTTATTACGTAGCATGCAATTGGACTAGTCGACAACTGGTGCTGATTGGTGATAGTTAACGCGACATGTCCCATTTCGTATTTGCGATCGATCGCTCGTAGATCGCGTTTGTCATTACGATATGTCAAACATTTGACGCCTCGTAGCGTTATATTTCACCCAATAGACAAATCCCGCCGCGCATTCTATTGTTAATAAATGTTGGTAAAGTTATAAATCTTCCTTCCTTTTATGATGGAATCTAATCAGTAGCCCGCGATCTTCGAGTGCAAAAAAATGATAATAATTTGATAATAATTATGGTAATAATTTTATTCTAATATCAATGTGTCAGAGAAGCCTCTGCACACAATGGAGGAAATATTAGGAATAGGAATAAATATTAAATTTTATTGAGATGACTAGATATGACTATATTTTATATTTATTTATATCATTACATGCGTTACATTTAATTTTTATTCCGAATTTTTAATTTCCAAAATTTAATATTTATTCCCGTTTCTAATTTTTTATTTGCTCCATTGTGCGCAGGTCCCAATGGTTTCTGTAACAATCAAAATGTAATTTATATCATAAGGAATAATTATCGTATTATATAAATTGGGAGAATAGAATGAAGACGACGTTTATGAAGGAAAATATTACGCAAATGTTAATTATACACGTGTGACTGGACTAAAGTGCAAAAGTGAATTTTGCACAAACGAGAAGAGCACGGTTTTCGCGCGCTTTTCACATCGTGAATGTCGGATAAAGACCGGAAGCCTGTTAACGTTACGCCGTTACGTTCTACAGTTTGCTTTCTCAGGGGGAAGGCGTCGTTGAAGTTCTCAAGATGGATGATGAATCGTTACTGCGTGAGGAGTATTGTCGTAAAGAAAGGAAAGCCATGTTAGATGTAAAGTTCCCCTTCATTCTTCACCCAATTAATATTATGCGATAATATAACAAAATATAATGAGCAGGAAATCTTTCATTTTTGTTAGAGAAATAGCGAAATGTAATTAAGTATTTTATTAAGTAATATTTTTGATATATTTTAAGGATATCGATTTTATATTAAACATTTCAATTATATTAATTATGTTAGTCAACCATCTTAATCATCAGTGGCATAATATTGATTCAATAATAAATTTGGAATAGCATTATTAATTCGCTAACGGTATACAGCAGTTTATAAGAAAGAAAGAAAGACGTTTATAATGGATCTAGATAAGGATTGGATAAAAACAAATATAAGAAATATATAAAGAAAAGTTTATGTCGCTCGAGTAAAGTTTTATTATTAAGTATTATTAATCCAAGATTTTAAAACGGTTGGTTCAATTAAAACTTGATGGTTAAGCTAACAACTTTGAAATTAGCGTACGGCGTATTATTAATTTAAAAATTCCATTCGCTCCCTAGTTCATGAGAAAGATTGATCGATTTGTCGCTACGTGGAAAACTTTTGCTCGTACATCGTTGCCCAAAGTTGACAATGCAAATGTTGTGTTCACAATTAACAAGTTAATTATATTTGATCGGTCAGTATCGCCGTTCAGTTATATCTTATATACGATTTTGCGGCATATCCGTGTTTTCCGCAATAAACTTTCATATTCGCATAAATTATAAAATCGTATATGTCGAATTTAAATAATAAATTGAATTTTGTTTCGGTAAATAAATGTTTATCAAATTGTAACGTATACGTACGGCATGAAGAAACAAAAACATTTAATTATCTATATTAATTATATTATCGCTGAACATATCTGTGATTAATATATTTAAAATAAAACAATATACAATAGATATGTGATTATCTCTTCTTTTTAGTTTTCATGTTTTTGTTTAATAATGATATATTCGCAAAAAGAGACAAAGACAATTCATTAAATCGTTTTACATCCATATAAAATGTTTATCAATATCTTTTAAAATTTTATAATTAGAAAATAATAATTCAAATTATCTGAGTTTATAATTTTAATGATTCAAATATATGAGTCAAACTAATTTTTCACAATTTTTCTAACTGTTGTTAAAATTAATTTTATTTTTAAGATTAATTTGTATTAGTTTGTATTAGTTTTGTCATTTATACTTCCAGATTACATCGATAAATCATTTTTTTTTATTTATTTGTTTATTTATTTGCATTTATTTATTGCATTTCGCTTTACGATATTTGATTGCATGAAAGTAGTGATATAGACGACGCTTTGAATTGAAACGCGCTAGGTAGTGGAACGAATTGAAATAAATCTGGCGATCGCTAGAATTCGAGTCCAGATGAGTCGAGATCGCGGTTTGCATCGCTCCGGTAAATAATTTGCGAGAAACCGTTGCGGGGAAATAAGACAAGCAATACACCTCGGAGATAATTACTTTCATCATTCTGATTGAAGCTGAACGAGTCGGAAACAATGCGAGTTTAATATGTGTGTTTGAAACATTGCTATTTTGCCAGGAATATTTTATGCTTGTGCTAATCTTTTTATTTACGATGGTTCATTTTTGCATCCTTATAGATTCTTTATAAAAAAATGTTAATTACATACATGAAAATTTTTTTCGATTTATAATATAATGAGAAAGAAAAACAAATTTTCCCAATTTATTTTATAACTAATGAAGTCGTCTCGTTACTTTATTAAACTAATAAGAGACAGAAGCTGAGAGCATTTCCTATAGTTAAAGTCCTATAGTTAAAGTACTGATGTTAGAAGTATGTACTTGGGGCTTTATGATTTTATTTCTTCGTTTTCTGAAATGTTTTTTGTAATTGCTAGAAAAATTCACAAAAAGATATAATTATGTCATACCGAAAAAACTAAATTGCATTATTCTTTATAATAATAATTTAAATAATATTATATCTAGCAACACTATGTTATATTTTCATAAATGAAGAAATGAAATTATTATATATGATACAGAGACAGTGTAAAGTGTCCTCGTTCTCTGGTAACGCTAGAGCCAAGGTTTACTCTCAGGACTGTATTCTGATATCGTCCAGAGATATAACAGTAACGTGAGCAGCGACTCGAATATATTACAGAGCTGTTGCCTCGGCTACAGTAATCTCGGATATCTCTAGCGTTTGGAATTGTCAAAATCCATGCCCGTGAGAGCTAATGGCCTCCGTTGCTAATTAAAATTTGCGGCAACGCAAGCCGAGGTTATTGCCTGTAAACGTTTCTCTGGATCGCGAGCGTTTAAACGTTTATTAATTCGTTCTTCCTTCAGTTTAATCGCAGTCGGGTAAATGGTGAAAATGATATCTGTGCTGTCAGGTGCATTAATTTAATTCGTGTTAATTAAACTTTCTATCTCTCATCGTTTTTCTCTTTCTTTAATTAAACATTACAGCAATAATTAAAAATTCAAAAGCGTGTCTTTTCCCTATATATATAAAAATAATTTTTTCTTCTCTGATTGCCTTTATGTTTACTTTTCATTTGTATTCAGGTTTAATAATTGGATTTACTTTGCAGATGTTGGTATAACGGTGACATGGAGACGCTATATACTGGCGCGATCCACGGTTTTCCGCAGCCCGGCGGCGGAATAGCTAATGGTGTTTCCACGGGAATCGCAAGTTCCTTCGACCAGGATGGCGTGCTTAGCCTTATCGTCGTCCTCGGAGGAAGTCTGTCTCTGGTGGCTCTAGTGTTTGCGTTCATCACCTATAGGCAAGTCTCACTTTAAGCAGACCAAACATTCACTTGATATTCCGATATTATGGAATTTTTTTCTTTGATACGAAAGCTGACGAATACTGAAGAATATATCAGTAATTGTAGAGTAAAATGTGACAGAAGGAAAGCACGCCGTAATTATAAAATTGAATACCATAAAACATGATAATTATTCTAAATATTCTTAATAGTATTAATTCTTTATAGTATTAAAATATTATATCTTTATTTTTTCTATCTCTCGGGGCATGCTTTTTGCGTGAGGAGTATTCGTTTATTTAATTATTACCGGCAAAAAAGAGAGAACTTAATGAAACATTAATTAATTAATATCTACATCTTGCACATTTTTTTTATTTTCCAATTATGTTCTAGATTAAGCGTTCGTTATGTTATTTTGCGTTATCTCGCTCGTATTCTAGATTTTGACGAAGAATTCAGTTTGATTAATTTTTAACACAATGAAGATAATATTTTGTATTTCTTTTCTTCTCTGCGAATTTTATTAAAGGAAAAGTACAATCAACATTGAAAAATTTGAAAAATTTTTATTTAACCATTGTTTAAATTGTACGTTTCCCAAAAATCTTACGAACTTTTAATTTTTTGCGTGCTATATTTCTTAAAAATGTGCAACAGCAGTTTATTCGAGAAATCGGCCAGAAAATTTGATCATTCGCGATACGCCGATCACGTCTTCTTTATATCCTTCTATTTTCGGCACGTCGGCGATTTCATTCGCGGTTCTTATGGATCACCGATTCGTTCATCACAGAGCTAATCGGTGTACCTTTACGTTGAAAGACGATACCGTTGGAATACTAAACGATTTTACGACCGTTTCGACCTTCTTCCATGACCTCGTTTTCGTTCCTCGGAAGAAGTTTCTCTTTTCCTATGTTTTCCCTGCGATCTAATTTCTCAATATCGTACTTTTTTTGGTGGGTGTGCGACCTTAGAAATTTTATCCCGCTGATAATCGAAAAATCGATGATTCGCATTCCTCTTCGCCACGAAAACCTTCACCTTCAAACGTGAATTAAATCATAGTGAAGAAATGAGAATGTTTCACTATACGCGGAAGAAAAAGTAAGAAAAAGAAAGAAACGGACAGAGAGAGAGAGAGACAGAGAGAGAGAGAGAGAGAGAGAGAGAGAGAGAGAGAGAGAGAGTGAGAGGAGGGGGAAAGGTTCATGATCGATCATGTCCCATTCCGGAAATTATCGGGAAATGGGAAAGCGCAACCACGACGTTTCCCTTCGCGCACGATTCGATCCGAGGAGAGACCGGCGATCCTCGATACGGTAGAAAAGACTGGACAAAAGCTATCACCGAAAATGGCATCGATAAAACGCGTCGTTCTTCGACATTCCATCCCGTTCGCCTACTCAATGTAAATCCTTCTCATATTTCGCTTTCGAGAGATTTCGATATATCACGAAAATCGAGGAAAATTTCTTCATATGATGGGTTTATATGTATGGGTCACTGATATCAGTAGATATCCGTAATATCAGTAAAATGTCCACACTTTCCTTCTTTCGATAACTGTACATTTATAACAGTTGTGAAAAGATAAACTTTTGTCACTCTTTTTAAATTGTTAAATTAACGAAAGTACGAAAAGCAAAAGTAAGTTATATACGTCTGAGAATTTTCGAATTTTTTACCGAGTTTCCATATCGTCATGTTCAACAGGTCTCCATACGCTTTTCTGTCGGGGTTTTGAACTTATAATGCAGTTTTCTTGCTATACGAGCTTGTACTGAGTTCCGATATCTTGATTCTCATGTCTGATTCAAGATGTACTCCCACGTTTTTAATAAATTATTATCTTATTTTTAATGAAATTTTTAAAGCGTTTTTATTAATTTATTGGTACTATTTATAATAATAATTTAATATATTTTAACATTAATGATTAACACATTAAGTAATTTATTATTAAAAGACGTCTTTCTGTTCGGATTTTCAAAACTGGTATTCAAGAATTTATCTTTTTTTCTATATTGTTGATAAAATATTATATAACAAAGAAATGGAAGTATCTGCGAAGTAACTTTTATATTTATTTTTTGTTAATAAAATTTCTTCCCCTCCCCTCTCTCTCTCTC